TTTCTTCTATGCAAAAATTTTCAAAATCGACTTAAAAATGAAGGAGATACCATATGGTATGAAGGTGGTAACTAGCGGTATGGAAAAAAAATTCTAGAAATATATTGAATGTGGATCTCATTTTGTAGATCACAACGAACTCGTTCCATCTGTGCAAAAAAAAAAAATGAAATCCAAATTAGAACGAAGAATATAGGAGTTGATTAAAAAAACTAGGAAAAATAAAAAGTCTTTAATTCCTAACCTTTAGATATGTAGCCCACTAAAAATGAAAGGACCAGATCTTATTATGCAAGGTTATGCACCAGAGGGTTAATGGCCCTATCAGTAACCTGCCGAGAGCCCTGCAAATTGCGTGCAACTGTTTCGAGGAGTGGACAATTGTCTTCAGTTGATTCCAAAACGATTGTTAACATACGATTTGTTAGTTCTCCCATGTTCTATGCATTAGGAAGGAGCGTGTTGATATGACTTGAATCAAACTATCTCGCGATGACTAGAAGTCACGGGGGTCTAGCTTGACTTTCTCTTTTGGGCCTGGTTTGTAACTTTATTCTTTACCATATTGGATTAGGGTTAGACCACATTGAGAAGTAATATAAATACTTCTCATACTACTCTACAATCTGTATCTCCTTAAAGTATAGTGAAACTGGCTCTCTCTTGTCCGTGGACTAGCTAAAACACATCTTATTAGTGAACCACGTAAATCTGTGTGTCTTCTTTTGTTTCTTGCTTTCGTTTTTCTCGCTATGTCGGTCCTCCTATTTCCCGATCCGTAGAAACCGTCTTGACATATCAAAATGATAGTGCAATGCTCGGGTGGGTCAATTTTTGTCGCCACCGTCAAGTGTTGATCAATTGAGGCGTTGGGCTCCGCATTTTTAGGACGTGATGGTCGGGTTCATGTGTTGTTATTAAGTGATAATATGTTCATGTTCCAGTTTTTAGACCCACCTAAAAGTACTTTGGTGTTTGACAATGAGCCTTGGCAATACGCGAACAATCCCTTGTTCCTTCGAGGGTGGGTGCATGGAATTCATCCGGTTATGATGGATTTTAAATAACTTTTGATTTGGGTTTGTCTGAATGGATTGTCTATGAAATATTGCATGATGAAGGTTTAAGCATAATTGAGAGTGTTTTGGGTATTCCACTATGGATGGATCATGCTACTAAAATGGGGGTACAGGTGGGGGTTGTTCGATAATGTGTAGAGATTTTGACTTATTTTCACATTCCCTGAATAGTTAAGCTATTAGCCCAGAAAGTGAGGTGCCTCTTACTTTGGTATTTCATCATCTACATGTTCTAGCCCGGAATGCAAGAGGTCAGACGCTGGTTATTCATTAATTTCCTAAGAAAGAGAGAGGGAGGAAATATATGTAATGAAACTAGTATGCTGGAATCTTAGGGGCTTTAATGCCCTCGAGAAACATAAGTATGTTAATAAGAAGTTAGTTAAGTTGGGAACAGATGTTGCTGCTATATTAGAAACAAAAGTTTTGCTTGTAATGCTACTGATATAGTTAGTCGTTAGTTTTGTTATATGAAGCATATGAATAATTATCTGCGCTCTAGTTCGGGGAGGGTCTAGTTGTTTTGGAAACCATCTTTCAAGGTTTCTCAAGTTCAATGGGAGAACCTTTCATACAATTTAGAGTAGAGGGAGTCCTACTAGTATAGTGAGTGCAGCCTAAGTCTTTATATGACTAAGGAAGGGTCGATGCCTCAAAAGTTTGTTGGTGAGCTTAGGATATTTATGGGTTTAGTATTGACTTAGTTTCTGAAGCCTGAAGTAGTTCATTATTGACTGAAAGTACTTTAGAGTTTAGAGGGTGGATTGAAGACATGAGATTGCTAGATCATATGGTGTTAGGCTCTTGGTTTACTTGGTTGAACAAACAAGTGAGAAATCCTATTGCAATACATCTGGATAGGATTATAGTGGATGGATACATTCCCAAACAGTGTTGCAAAATGCTTGCCCTTGTGTCAGTCCACTATGGATTGTTTTTAGATTCAATCCCTCTGTTGACAGAATTTTTAAGCATTTTAAGTATTTTAAGTTTTGGAGGCAGCATTTGAGTTATGACTCTCTTTTGGCAGAGGATTGGAGGATGAAGCGGTAGGGGAACCTCAAAATGTTTTACAATAAGTTGAGAGTTTTTAAGGATAAGTTGAAGTCTCTTACTCAATCGATTTATTCAGATATCTCGGCCATAACAAGGGAGGTGGAGATGGAACTTGAAAGGAAGCAGAAAGAAGTGCAATCTAATCGTACAAGTGATAATATTCAGTAGCAATTGGACCTTGCATAGAATTTTCAATCTCTACAAAGTGACGAAGACAGTTTATTCATGAAGAAATCTTGAATAAGATGGGTTTCAAGAGGGTGGTGCTAATACGAATTATTTCTACAAAATGATTAAAGCTCGTAATCATAGACATACAATCACAAAATTGATAATAGATAATGGAGCTAAAATGACTAAGGTAAATGAAATGGGAGCAATGGCATTATAGTTCTATTAAATGCTAATGGGGAAGATCGATGGGAATATCCAAGAAAGAGCTATTACTTATTTTTAGCAACTCTTATAGATGAAGCTTGAGCCTAATGATGCAAGAGGTTTATTGAGGCCAGTGAAAATTGAGGATATAAAAGACGTACTTTTCAAAATTCAAATTAATAAGGCCCATGGGTTGGACTGTTTCGAAGTGAAATTCTACAAAGGAGGCCGACATACTCTTGGAGGAGTTGCTGAAACAGTGGTACTGGAGTTCTTCCATACGGTTGTCATGCCTAGTCAGTTGAAGTTGACGATACCTGCCTTATTCCCTAAAGTACCAAATGTGGATAATATGAAAGATTTCATATCGATTTCGTGTTGTAATGTGCTTAATAATGGTATCTCAAAGCTTTTATCCAATAGAATGATTGTTGTTCTCCCAATAGTAACCAGTGAAGCTCAATCTGCATTTGTTAAGCGAAGGCTTATTAGTGATACAATTTTAATGGTAACAAAGTTGGTTAAGGATTATCACACAAAGAATATTTCTTTTACGTGTGTGTTGAAGGTTGATCTTATGAAGGCATTCGATTCGATTAACTGGGAGTTTTATTCAATGTTTTGACTACAATGATATTTCCTACTGAGTTTGTTAGATTAATTGAAGCATGTGTGACCAAACCAATGCTAAGTGTGGCTTTCACTGGTTGTGGCCTATGTTGTTATTTCTCTACTGTAAAGGAACTCAACCAAGAAAATCCACTCTCCCCTTGTTTGTTTACAGTAGCTATGGAGTTTTTTTTTTTTTTTTTTTTTTGTCTGATGAAAAGAGCACTCGAAACAGAACATATCCATTCTCACCCTTGATGCAAATCATTAGAAATTACTCACTTGTCTTTTGCCAACGAACTTTTCAAATGGATCAATTAGGGCTGTGGCAAGTATCAAACAGCTTTTGGATCAATTTGAAATTGATATAGGGTTTAAGTGCAACTTATCTAACCTATTATGTGTTGGGATTCTAGAGGAAGAAAATGAGATGATTTCACAAAGCACAGGGTTCCTATTGGGGGTTCTGCCTGTTCGTTTTCTCAAGGTACCCCTTAATAACTGGTTAGTTAACAACAGGGGATTGTCAAACATAAGATAACATTTAGGATTCGTACATGGGTAAAGCAAGTAGGAGTAGAACTTTCTATTGGAGTTTGTTGAGGTGGACGATGTCCGCACTACAACTAATATCTCATAGCGACACAATTTTTCTTTCCTACATACTATTTGTGGCCGCCATCAAGCTACTCTCCTTGATGAAAAAACCGACCTACTTCACCTCTTTATTGTTGCTGTCTTTGTAGAATGAAAATGCAGGAAGCTTAAGAGTGTCGCCGATGTCGAGTGACTACAGAGAAGAGTAGAGGATGGAGAACTATTTGAAGTCTGTAAGGAGGGGATCTTTGTGAGATGGGAGGGAGAGAGACAGGGAAGTGAACCCTTTTCTTATCCATTCACTTTTTAGAGTATTTTGGAGTTTAACACCTTACGCAGCAAGAGAGCAATTTGGGGTTTCCAATAAAATAACAGGGATACAGTTGGAGAAAAAGTAACTCAAATGTGGGAATGTGAAATGCAGTAGGATGCCAGTTTTTTAATTGTAATGTCTGTGGGAAAGTGGCCCAAATTACATAGGTCAATTACCATACTCATTTGGTCCATCCAAACATGAGAATTTAATCCAATTGCTGCATTGTGTGAGAATTTAGCCCAATTCTTTCATTATTTTACTGCATCCAAACGACCACCAAATCTTAGACAATCATGCCTCCTATTAGAAAAGAAAAACGATGTATATTCATCTTCATAGAAAAAAATTAAAACAAGAAAAAGGAAAACAATTATAATCTGAATAGTATAACTCTGATTCCCATGAAATGGAAAAATTGCAAAACAAATCTAGTTCTGACACACATAGACATAGGGGCACCATAATTGGTTTGACCCAAGTGACATAAAATAAAATGGATAAAGAAAAACTGTATAATACTGCCTGCTGTTAGTTGAGCTGGCAATATAAATACACAGTTCCTAGGGTTAGGGTTGCCCAATATAATTTACTTACTACCAACTATCCAACCATTGCAGAAGCCACAACGCTTCACCAAAGTACGCACTGTTCTGTTTTTTCACCCCTTCTAATCTAACCTTGTTTTCTTTTTTCCTCTTCCCTTTTCTTTGATCCAAAAAAAAAAAAAAAAGGAAAGAAAGATAAGACTTTCCCTGACTACTCTTTCACTCACACTCCAACCAGGCTGTGGATCGACTGTGACTCAGCTCCCTGATTGGGACTGCACCCTTATAATATCCGTTCATTAATAGGAGAAAGACAAGTTCTACCTCTCTTTTTCTTTCTTTCTTTCTTTGCTTCTCGATCTCTTTTCATTTTCTTAAAGCCTTGATTATTGAGTTGCTTTCCACCGACCGAAAGAGATCATGATGAAGAAACGGCAAGTGGTGGTGGTGACGAGATCGGAGGTGGGGAGGATTTCGACGACTTCCTCGGTCCGTTACGGGGAGTGCCAGAAGAACCACGCCGCCAACATCGGAGGGTACGCGGTCGACGGCTGCCGGGAGTTCATGGCCAGCGGTCCCGGCGGAGCGGCGGCGCTGATGTGCGCAGCGTGCGGCTGTCACAGGAACTTCCACAGGCGGGAAGTGGAGACTTCTGAAGTCGTCTGTGAGTACTCTCCGCCTAATTAATAACTAATCCCTCGCGTCTCCTCTCCTCCAGTCGCCGATAGAGTTGGCCGTGGGTGGTGCTTTGTTTTGTTCTGAGGAAAAAGGAAAAGAAAGGTGTGCAAAATTGGCTTTGCATTGTGTTTGTGTACGTGGTCTAAACCTTTTTGAAAAATGGGGACATTCCGGATTGCGATTTTGTGTGCTTGGCAATATGGCGAATTGGTCCATTGGTTTTTATGAGAATGGTTTATGCTCATACTAGTTGGGTTGCTGTTTCTGCCATGAATTATATGATTACGATATGCTACTATGTACTATGCTGTTGTGAGGGTGATGATCTGTACTTCTTGTGTCATATAGCGCCCGATGCAGTGACTAATGACTAGGAATTTGTGAGATGGCGACTTCATTAATTAATTAGCATGCTGATGCCATTGTTCTACTTCAGATTTGTTAGTACCTAACTAGTTCGGTATCTCTTTGAACTTGGAAGCAAAGATTTGTTACAGAATCTTGCTTCCACATATATATATGGCCTTCAACATCTAAAATATAGGCTGGAAGCATGAGATGTTGGACTCAGCTATTGAAGAAAACATCTATTTTTTTTTTTTACGATAAAAAACAAAGAAATATTAGGATAATAGGTAGATTAATTGAGTAAATTAGTTAATTGAAACTTGAAGTCTTGGGCTTAATTATCTGAAGTATTATTGGGTGAAAATATGATTTACAATAATAGTAAAAGTATGATAAATATAATTAAATATTGCGGCAAATCAAAGTAAAACGGGCCTACAACTGGACAAAAGAGCAAGATAGGACGAAAGTAGTATCATGCTAATGTGGATCGGATATTACCCGCCACTTCAGCACAGATGAAATCGGGTATTATCCGACATGACAAATTGAAATTGCCATCACTAATCTCGGCAGCCAAATTGAGCAACGGATGCTGTGGAGATGAGAGGGTACAGCTTGTGTAATTTTGTAAACTAGAAGATAGGGGGGTAGGTCTGCTATAGTACAACTACAAGGTGGTAGGCTAGCTAGCAAGGCTACCCTAGAATATATCATGTAGCACAATCATGTAGAATGCATTGAACGAGTCTAATAATTCCCCTAGATCAGTCCCCATATATGTCCAATCATGCTATCACCATTTTCCTTTTAAAATTGTAAAGCATAATTGTTTTTTTTATATTAATAATTAAGTCGTTTTTGGATGGCTGACTTAATTCACTAAATTAAAAGCTAGAATTCAACTTAATCAACTGTAAACAACAGAATTTATAATATCCATGAGGAACACTTCCTTCCTCTCATTCTCCCTCTCTTTTGGGTGAGGAATTAAGCAAGCAAGCAAGCAACTTTTTTTTTTTTTTGACAAACTTGCTGCAAAGAATATATAATAAGAAATGAAGAACAATACAGCAGCATGCGACACACCACACCACTGCTTGGAGTGGAAGCAATAATGTTTTTTCTATTCAATTTCCCCTCTCTTTCTCTCTCTATTTCTGTATTTTATTCTCAAATATATGGCTTTGAGACATGTTGAATGGGAAGATAATATAGTTATATGAATCGGTGGTTGCCTGTCTGCATGATCCTAAGCTTTCGGGGAGAAAAGAAATATACTCTTTGTAGTATGTATGATTCTCAAGTAGTATAGCTAGCTAGCTCATTCTAGAGGAGACCATATATATATGGCCGGGTAGCTGTTGTTTGTTTTTTTTTTTTTTTTTGCTTCTTTCTGATTATTGGATTCCTCATTTCACCTGAAGCAGCATGCACGATTTACTAGGACTTCACTACTTACAAGGACAAATTAAACTAGTTAGCTTGTCAGTTCAATATACGTACACAGGTGATCATTATTATTCAATCTATGGCATGGGTTTTCGAGGTCAATATCTTTGTATACACACAATGAGACAATTGAAAAATATGAGATTTGGGTTTAAATTGCTAGGAATATGATATTACTACGACTTCATGACTTTCATTTTAGCTAAATGATGTATATATATGAGATTTAGAGCCGAACCCCTCGTCCAAACAATCCATATAGATATAATCTCTCACATGATATTTAGCCAGGTGAAGGACATTAGCCGACAATTGGTCAAATGATAACTTATTGAAATAAAGATACCCATTAAACAGTCTGTCTTGAATAACCTAGCTAGCTACTATATTTCATTTGAGCAAGCAGTAGCATGGCCAAATTAAGTTTATGTTAGCTAGCTGGACAATGAAACGAGGGGCTTTCTGTTGAGGGTTTGAATTTTCCTGCGGGATCGATGAATGACAAAACTGTGTGGGGAAATGTAATGTCAAGTATTCCACTAACGAGAGGATTTGGGCAAATGGGTTTGAAAAATAAAATGTAATGACTTGGAGGAACTGTTACAAACCGAACAGAAAAATAGGGTTATCGATTTGGCTGAGTCGTGGACTAGGTCGCTCTCTTTAAGACGTTCGCGGCACTTCCTTCGTTGCGCACGGCAGACTATCAGCCGGTCGCCTCCAGGATAAAACATCCACTCTAAATTTGTTGCTCATCGGTTTTGTGCGAAAACCGGAGCTCTATGAACTCACTCTCTATCTCGTGTTTCTGCTCTCTGAGGTGTGTTTAGAGGGTCTAGGGCGTCTCCTATTTATAGGAGCAGAAAACAAGAATATTCCCTCTTTCTTTGGGAATAAGTCATATTTTAATTAGGGAGATAATTACTCCCATAATTAAAATATAATCTATTAAGATAATTATTTCTAATTATCTCCATAATATTTCTTTTATTAATTATCCATCTTATTTAAGTATTATGGGAAAATACTGGATAATTAATTAGGAATTTCATTTATAGCTTTTCAAAGCTATTCATCCCAACAATCCCCCACTTGAATAGTTTTGAAACTATCTCTGAGCATCAACAGTTCCATAAGATAGGGCATAAGCTAAGGTATCGTGAAGATTTGAACCTTAGCGTAGTGGTTACACTTCCGATTTCATAAGGGTGACTCGTAGTCTTGAACCCTATCTCAAACAATGTAGCACACCAGATCTTTTCATTGAGTGATATTCTCTCATAGGCCGTGCGTTTATGGCCATGCACGTTATCCCGGTTTAGTGAAAGCTCTAGCAACTTTGTGCCTCCAAAGTTCCATAGGGAGCGGCCCCACTCCCACATTCACATAGGTGAGTCTATCAAAAGTACCCCCCAAAGTAAAGTACTTCACTCCACATAGAGTATAGATCTCATTAAGAGTTTTAACTCAACCTCCAAGGCTTTGGGATTCATGCTTCACTATGCATGAACTTTTCTCAATATTACTCATGACTTGTTATTACCCATTGAACCCGTTTCTTGGGATCTCCAGTCTATCGGGTCGGGTTACCATCACTTGTAATCCATGGTTCGGTAGGCATAAGTCTCATACCCTTCGTGGTATTTTGGACTTTCTCTCTAGATAATCCTTTCGTCAAAGGATCAGCTAGATTCTGTTAGGATCTTACAGGATCCACCCTCATTGCTCCTATCGTTAGGAGTTCTCTTACAGTACTATGCTTACGACGAATTTGTCGTCTCTTTTCGTTCTAGAACCGGTTCCCTTCTTTAGTAATAGCTGCGGTGCTATCACAATGAATCATCTACCGGAGGGATCGGTCTTTCCCATAAGGGAGTCTCTAGTAATGATCCTCTCAATCAACTTTCCTCTTTACTAGTCATTGCTAGCTCTATCATTTCTGATTTCATAGTTGATTGAGCCAGGATCGTTTACTTCTTAGAATTCCAAGATACAACACTTCCGGTGATGTTTAAAACATGTCCACTGGATGCCTTGGAATCTTCTATAGGGTATTCTCGTCCGCATCAATATACCCTACCAATACAGCAAGCAACCGTTGATAACTTATATCAAGGTCTACTGTTCTTAAGGTGTCTCATGACCCCTTTCAATAGCATTTCAATGCTTCATAGTAGGACAATCAGTAAGCCCGCCAAGTACCCCCCCCCCCACTAAATTGGGTATCATGTTTATCAGCTGCCTCCTGCAGACTGTAAATGCTAGTATATTCAAACTTTCTTACACCGTCTTAGGTGTTCTTTAAATATTTATACGAGCATCATCAAACATTTATGCAGGTGTACATCTTGTATTTTCCTAGTTATTAGGATCTCTAAGCATAACATTTGTTTCATTCAGATCCTTCACATTCAAAATTCTCAACCATCATGGTTTTTCAATATTGACATTACGAGTCTTTGTACCAAAGATCGATGTGTCATTCATAATGCAAGTGTCATTCTCAAATTTGTACTAAATGCACTTGTCACTTTCACTTTTAAAACCATGAGAGAGAACCAGTTTATTCATGCCATCGTCTTAGAGTCTATTTCAAATCTTACAATGATTTGTCTAACTATAGACTCCCTAAGCATGTTCAGCAATAACAACCCTATAGGTTGTCCCATGTAGATTTTCCTATGTAAATCACCATTCACAGAAACCTGTTTAACAATCCATCTGACGCACAACACTAGCAATCAGAACATACATGGATGTTATTCTACATATGGTGAATAGATAACAAGAAAATTTACAATTTTTCCTTTTCTCTTAAAGCCTTAGCTATTAGGCGATCCTTATACTCATAAACTAAACCAATAGGTTTAACTTTTCTTTTCAGAATCCATTTATTACCCATGACTTCAATGCCAAGAGGTAATTCTCAAAGATGCCAAATCTTGTTCGATTCTATCGATATATTACCCAAGACTTTTCAACCAAGAGGTAAATCTACAAGATTTTATGTCTTATTAGACTCCAATAATTCCATTTCGTTAATAATGGATTCTCCCACAATTCTGCATCTTTATGGAAGTTCGAACTTCTAGCAAACTTGTAGGATCTTTCTTTCTTAGGGTGTAAATAACAAATTCAAAACCAAAATCCTTTCGTGATTTATGGTTCATTTGTCTCTTCTGAGTTCATACTCAGATTCATCACCCCCA